GTCTTCCGACCAATTGGGGTAACCCAGGCCCACGAGGCCTATTGAGTGCGAACTTTCGCCCATTAAGACTGCTTTTTGATATATTCATTTAATCTGCACCAAACATTTACATTGGATATCCATCTGCTAAATTTCATTGTCTCTCTTAAAATAGTAAGAATGAATGATTCAAATGCCTCAATTTACCCAAAACTATACATGTTCATCAACCAATATGACAACTAATGCCCCACACGCACTAATGCATTAATTCATTGCCGCTAAGCGTCTACCAACAAACATCTTATCACATCTCATTTGAACAAGATCTGGAAGACTGTAATTATCATATTTGTAATTTAAAATAATGAGATATAAAAGATTTGGGTTATACAAATATAGAATATAAAGTTTAAGGGACAGATATGTAAATACATAAGAATTGGGCGACATTTGCGTAAATGCCCTTTTTTTTTAATCAATTTTAAAATTAGCTGAATTTTTACTACGGGCTATGAATAATAAATTATGAAAAAAGAATTTATAATTTTGAAAAATAAATGTTTTCTTTAATCGAAGGGGTACGCATACTTTCATTCTGAACTGCTAATCTGCTATTTTATGAATTAAATGGTACCCACTATGGCGGCTCGGTTTGGATTTCTCCGGTCCAATTAATGCACTCTAACGCCAATTATATGTGGAGTTCAATGAAATCACATCACGTGGAGATACAGAAAAAAAAAATTTCGGCCCAATAACAAAAGAGAATATTTCCCGCGTGTTATTCGTGTTATTCATGTGCTATTATATATTATTCAGGTGTTATTGTGTTTTGTGAATATTCTCGTTGTTATAATAACACAATAACACATCAATAACACTTGAATAATATACAATAACACATAAATAAAACACAATAACATATGAATAATACGAGAAGAATATTCTCTTCCGCTACTGGGCGGATTTTATTTTTTTTCTTGTCACCGTCAAATAGCGTGATTTCATTGGACTTCGCACACAACTCTACGTACGAAGTCCTGATGCAATATTTTCTCACTTTATACATACTTGCATGTCACTAAAATCTTTAACAACATATCAAAAATAATAATATTATTATTATTTTAAAAAAATGCATATATATATATATATATATATATAAGAGATATATATATATATAGTTTTGACATATGATTCTCATTTGATTATTCAGCTAATTTTATAAAATGTTAAATTTTAAACAATTTTTTAAGTAATTTAAGATAATGCAAATTGATTTACTAAAAAACTTCAGCTTAAAAACAAATCAAATTACGTCATAAAAATTAAACAGCATAATTACTTATTAAAATAACATTAATTCTTCTAGAAGATCTTGTCTTCTTTGATTTTGAGTGCCCTTTTTACACCATCCAATTAATTTAGCATCTTGCACCAACTTAGACAAAAATAAGAAGCATTTATTCAGCTAAATGGGGTCGGCTGCATGAATTCTTTTTCTCCAGTTTTGTCCTATTAAGAATCATATTTTCATTTAATTTTAATAAATGTATATCATTTTTAATACAACATGCCTAAGTATTTTTAGGTCTACTTCTATATTTCTTAACACAAGTCAAATCTAAAGCATCTACTCTACTAACTAGGTTATCAGATAATCGACGTTTAATGTAACTAAATCATCTAAGGTGACACTCTAATCTTGTCTGACACTAGAGCTACTTCAACTCTTTCACAGATAAACTCATTTCGTATTTTGTCTCTAAGTGCAACACCACCATCCACCCGAGCATTCTCATCTCAACTCTCAACAACACTATACTTAATTTTCTGCTTCACTTTTACAGGCTAACATTATGCACCATAAAACATTCCAAATCACCGCCATTTTATAAAATTCTCATTTTAGTCCAAGTGCCATTTGTCTATCACATGATAGGCTCTATGTATTCCTCACTTCAACCATTTAACATGAATTCTACTAATAACATCCCCATCTATATCACCATCAATTTAAACAATAGAATCAAGATATCTAAAAAGTTAACTCCTTTTAACGACTTAATCCCCTAATGTTACAACCCCATATAACATCCCCATCTGTATCACCAACAGTGGTTCAATCTGAGTCAAAACAAGCCAAGATCAAGCCGTCAAACCAATTTTGGAAGCTTACAACTGAAATGTTAAATGGATTATATATCTAACAAGCTTATAATTAAATCAAGCATCTCAAAAAGTATCTAACGGACCCAATATCACTCAATTTTGATATTAGTACGGTACTCAAATATCCAAAAAATATCATTTTATTAAGAGATCCTCTCTAGCATGTTCAATGGAGTGGTCCAAATTCCTTCTCTATTAACAAGGAAGCCTCTCCAAGACTCTATAGATAGAGCTCTACCCCTTTCATGAAGGAGGGCCTAGACCGTGAACCAGAGAAAGATCAGAGCTTGGACAAGTTGAGGTTCAATGTTCTACACCAAAGGTCCAGTGAATGCTTCCCTTTTTGGCAGCAGTCGACCACTGTAGACCACTGCTCATTGCTCGTTACAACGAAGTCCCTTACAAAGTCAGGACATTCTTTGAGGTGTAACAAGGCACTGTGAGGAGTGACAAACAACCTAATAGAGTAACAAAGCATCCTAAGAAGCAGCAGATCTCAAATATGGAGCTACTACACATCTCAAAGATGGTGTAACAACACGCGTAGTAATAATTATTTACAACTACCATACTCAACATATAGTGACTTTATATGAACTTCTGAAGCTCTTTCCACACAGATCATCATTATCTACACGACCAACTATATCCTATGTGGTCCAAATCTCATGTAGCTCTTAACTCAGGCTTATGAAGACTATGGATGCTATCACAACCTATGCAACTCCAATTATGGCCTCTACGACATATGAACATTCACAACTCATGTAACTCCCAACTCCGACCTTTGTGGTTTATGAATATTATCACAACTTATGTAACTCCCAACTCTGACCTCAGCAGCCTACAAACTTTATCATAGCTCATGCAGCTCCCAACTTGGACATGTGCAACTTGCAGACTTTATTAAAGCACGTGTAGTTTTCAATTCTAGCCTTTATGCCCTACTAACTTCATCACAACTCCAACCTCTACAAGCTAAGAAAGTTAGCACAACTCGTGCAGCTTCCAACCCTAGTCTCTGTCTTCTACGAACGTTATTGCAACTCATGCGATTTCTAACTATGGATCTGTGACCCATGAACGTTATCATAAATGTAGCTCAGCTTTTGGTTGCTAATCATTGCTCATGTAGCGCCTATAAGGCCTACAAATATTATTAAAACTCCTCACTATGGTCTATATGACTTACTAAGACCTACGCGACTAAAAGCTCACACAGCTTGCTACTCCGACCTCTGTAGCCTACGTAAGTTAGTATAACTCACCATGACCTATATGTCCAACTATGACCTACATGACTCGCAGCTAATGCAACTCTTAATTTCAACATCTGTGGCCTGCAAAAGTTATTACAACTCACGACCTCTGTGACCTATATGGCTCACAACTCATGCAACTCTCAACTCCGACATTTATGGTCTACATACATTATCACATCTCACTACTACAATCTACGTGGCTCACAGCTCCTACAACTCTCTGCTACAACCTTTATAGCCAACCGACACTCTTCATGGTACTATCTACTGCCTATATGGTCAACCACTATCATAACAATCAACTGCAACTTTCTTGACACTTTACAACTGTTATTGTTGAACTGTCGTTGTATATCAATAATATAATTCTATTTTATCTCATTCAAGAGAAGAGTCAAATAATATCGACAATGAGATTGTATTGAATAACAATGATTAGACGATGAAACTCAGATGATGATGTTCATATGCCAACAATCAAACGACAACATTATTGATGGTGGTTGCTAACATTAAACATTAGGAAAAGCCCTTGCTAATTCTGTAAATCTTCATGTTTCATTTGAATTTTAATTCCATATCACATTCATGTGAAGCAGAGTTAATATATAACTTTTATGACTTTGTTAGATAAAAGTTGTAAAAACTCCATCATGTGATGTGTTATTTTTATTGATCATAGATTATTCATTCAACAATTAAGTATATTATTGATCTCGAAATCGGGTGATTTTAAACTCATTGGATTTCCCTTATCTATGTGCTCAATTTAATAATAATTACATCTAATTAACAAATCATTTTATCATTTAATAAATGTTTCAAAATTAATATCTATGATAACAATTGCTTGATTTGGTCTTATTTGATATATGACAATATCAGTGTTACGGTGGTGTGACATGTTCAATTTCATCGCTAGTTTGTTAAAAAAATCTGTTTGGATGATCTTAATTTAATTTTTAAAAATTTTAATTCAAAAAACTACATTAAAATTAATTAATGTTTTATTTTATATATATTGAGGCTCCAAATGTGATGGATTCATGCTTCAGTTCTTTAGTAATCTCATCTTCTTGTAATGCATCATGACAAATTCAAAATTGATTAAATCAACTTCTAATGACTTCTTAAATAACTTTTAAATTTGCTGAACTAAATCTTGTGATGTTAGATGCCAAAATTCAAGCTTGATTTATTAAATATTCAAAATAATATAAAAAATTAAATAAAAATTTAATATAATAAAATTAAAATATCGAAAACGTATCAACAATCCTACCTAATATCCAGCAAACACGATTAGCTTCCAACCCCCAATTTAAAACTCAATTACAGTCCATAATAATAGTAATAATTATAATAATAATAATAATAATAATAATAATAATAATAATAATAATAATAATAATAATAATAGTAAACAGGTTATTTTATTTTTCTAAAAAATATAATATGTTGGGGTTAAATTGTAATTTTATTTTCCTAAATAATATAATATTTTCGGTTTAAATTGAAGCTCCGGCACCGGCAGTTCCAAAGTCGGTTTATTTTTGTTTAACCCTCCGCAACGTGCTCCGTTTAGGCTTCCTCCGATTCATACATCTATAAATATATAAACAAACCGCACAGTCCTTTACATCAAACCCTCCACCTCCTTCTCTTCTTCTTCTCCCTCAAACCGCCCCCCTTCCCAAAACCCTAGGGTTTATTCGCGAGTGTATGGCAGTGAGCCTACTGTCTCATGAGCTATCCGATCTGTGCATCGGCAAGCCGGCGCTGAAATCTCTGCCGATCTCCGCCACCGTCGGCGAAGCCCTCTTCGCCCTCCGCCAGTCCGGAGAGACCTACGTCTGTGTGTGGACTGCCGAAAGATCGACGCCGGAGGTGAAAACTTGCGCTGGAAAACTATGTATGGTTGATATCCTCTGCTATCTCTGTGCCAGGGAGAACATCTCGTCGCCGGCGGCCGCACTCGAGAATCCTGTTTCGGTTCTCCTTTCGAAGGAGTCAGCCGCCCTCGTGCGCCGCGTCCAGTCACATTCGAGGTATTTCTTTGTTCTTCGATTTGCCGTGGTTTGATCGGATTTCTTTGTTGAATCAGCCGTCCGCTCGTCACCGGTTTCGGGTGACTATTAATAGTTTATTTGGTTACTGAATCAGTTCAGATCTTCATCCTTTTGATCCTCTTTAATGGAATTTGCGTTATTCCTTTTTTTTTTTAATTTAACTGTAAGACAATTTTGACCAAAAACCTTTTAAGCGAGGGAAATTTGATATCGTATCGTATCTCTGTTTTCAGGATCCTTGATGGTCTGGAACTGATCCTGGAGGGCGCGCATGTACTATTAGTACCCATCCGCTCCCGCAAGAAGCTCCAGCCCCACCACTCCGGCATCTTCTGCTGGCTGACACCGGAAGATTTTGCCCGTTTCTTCTTCAACTCAATCTCCATTATCTCCCCCATCGCCGCCTGTTCCGTAACACAGCTCGGCCTTGTCCGCTCCACCGACATCCTTGCCGTTCACCACCACGATCCAGCCCTCTCCGCCCTCCCCCTCATCCACCGTGCCCTCGCGGAACAAACTTCCGTCGCCGTCGTCACTGACGACCGCAAGCTCATCGGCGAGATCTCCCCTTCCCCCCTCACTGGCTGCGACGAATCTGTCGCCGCCGCGCTTTCCGTTCTCTCCGCCGGCGATTTCATGGCATACATTGACTGGTGCGCCTCCCCACCAGAAGCCGCAGTTCGGGCTTTGAAATCTCTACTGAAGAAAAAGGCGATGCATGGTATGGTTGAGCTAATGGAGGTGGTTTCACGGCCGGTTTTTTCATCTTCGACATCATCTTCTTCAGACGAGGAAGGGGAGATAAGGATGGGCTTGAGGAGATTGAGGAGGTTAGGAAGCTATTCTTCGAGGATGGGGAGGAGGTCGGAGGAGGCCATTGTTTGCCATCCGGGGAGCTCGTTGGTGGCGGTCATGATGCAGGCTTTGGCGCACAGAGTGGGCTATGTGTGGGTGGTTGAGGAGGAGGACTACAGCCTCATCGGCATTGTTGTGCTTCGTGACATTCTCCAGGTTCTTAGAGATCAGTTGGATGAGCAGTTTAATGTTCTCTGACATTAAACAACAATGAAGGTGGGAGGAAGGTCTTGATTTCTTTGGTAAGCATTTTGTGTTTTAATTCTTCTCCTAAAAAAAAAAAAAAAAAAAAAGACTCTTTCGTATTTTGTGAAGTAGAAATGTTGTGTTCTTTATAACTCGTAAAGGAATAAAGGAAATCAGGGTTGTATCATATTTTTGGACTTCTGCTTTTATTATTTATAGATAGTTTTAGAATGGGTTTGGGAGAGTAGATCTGGTGAGAAATAGGATAAGTCTTACAATGAATTTCTTATAATTGTTTTCTAACTGAAAATGATCAATATATGTTGGATTTGTGAAACATTGTATTTTTTCTTAAGACATGTGGCTTAGATTTATGATCTTCAAAAAATAAATCTCTCTTTTTAAGTATTGACCCAGGAATCTTTATTACAACATTATATTTTATTTATGAACATAAATTTTTATATTCTTTACAATTCTTCGTGCATATCTAATTGATTATGGTCGCTACTCATAAAATATTTATAATAAATTTCATGAAAATTTTACCCAAAAAATATTTGATTAACTCATGGATAGGGATGTATGTATGTGTGTGTGTGTGTCTCTCTCTCTATGGTTCTGACACATCAAACAAATGATTTTATTTATAGTTTGAGTTGAAAAAAATTATTAATATTTGACTCGCTTAACAAATGTATCAAACACGAGCTATGTGATGAGTCATACACAAGCTATTCAAAAATATTGAGTTTTTTTAAGTCTTAATCATGAGTGAATAACAAAAGAAAAAAATTAAAAAATGGCCATTTACACATTCATAGAACAGGAAATATTGCTCTTTACAAATCTAACACTCTTTCATTATTTTTTTTTTTTAATTCTCACTCAAATATAGAAATTCAGGATAAAGTCTCAATTAATATTTTTTTATTTTTATCAAATTCTCAATGATTGAACTGTGGCACTAGTAAATATATCGATTTGTTGGTTCAAAAATGTAGCGTGTTAAATTTTGTAATTAGTAATATTTTGGGCGTGGCGGTATATGTGTATTTATCCCTAAACAAAATGTTGAAAGAAAGGAAAAATTATTTCATACAGACACCGCATGCATCTCTATAATCTCTACCGTCGATCACCGCAAAGATGTATTTCAGTGGGCCATACTTTCAAATTTTTTTAAAAAAAAATGATTGCTGTGAGCGACAGTGAGGATCCTATACCAAATACAGAGATACATGTAGTGTCCGTGTGGAATAATCTCTCAATAGAGAGCAAGTCTCTTTTTTTTCTTTCTTTTCAAAATGTCAGTCAATATAATTTGATTAAATAACGAATAAAATATTATACAAATCGTATATTTCAGCATTAATTTTGTCAGAACATGTGAATCACATGCTGTCCAATAACATTTTTTTCCACTAGACAACCATGAATTTGACCGTTAGACCATGTCCACCCACATTTTCCACATCTACCTACGAGCTTCAAATTTTGTTCAAATAAATTTTATAATTATTAAATTTATTTCTAGGTGAACACAATATTTGAATAATTATTTATAATTTATTTATTTAAATTAAATTCAATATCTTTAATTGCTTTAAATCAAAATTTGGCTTGAATTTTTGCAACCTCCTCTTAAGTTCAACTCTAATATTAGCCTCTCTTAGGGTAACCTCAACCAGCTCATCACATCCACAGAAGAGCTGAAGTTTCTCGTGCCACCAACTATAGTTAGGGTTGTAATCAAGCCGAGTCCAGTCAATATGTCATGGTTTGGATTTGGCTTAGGCGAGCCATGTTGTTTATGTTCAGTTTGAGCTTGAAACGCTTCAAAATTATTTTAATACTTGACTTTTTTAAAATTTTTATTGTTCATACTTGACTTTTCATATAAAATTAAACATTTAATTTATGCATGATTTTTCATATAATACTAGTAAATAAATTTAAAATTTAAATGTATAGTTAATGTTTTATATGAAGTTATTAGCAAATGATCTTATATAAATGAATAAACAATTAAGTAGATTTCAAATTAACGTCTAACTAGTTAATACAGAGTAAATAAAATAGTATCTAAGTTAAAAAGTAATTTTTTCTACATTCAGGTTACATAAATAAGCACTAACAAACTAATTAATTGAAATTAAAATTTTCTTTTAATTTATATGTAGATTAATATTAAATTATAATATATTATTAAATAACTTCTAAATAATCATTTTTTATTTAAATAATATACTATATGTTTAGAGCATTTAACAAGTTACTTGTTGAACAACAAACGAGAATTTTCATGAACATTAACATGCAAGTTGGACGATATTCAAATTTGATTCATTTAAGTTCTGAATTCTTTAAAAATTTCCAAACTTCTTTATTTATTAATCTTAACGAACATGATCAAGTATTAATCGAGTTGAATTTGAATTGTTCATCAAGTGCATTGATTCATTTACAGCCCTAAATATAGCATTACATTTATGAATTTAAACGTTTGATTTCGACGATTCAAGAAAAAAGTTCTCAATTGTCAATCATTCAATTCATTTTAAAAATAAATAAATCTATCCCAACAACCACTTGAAGTAAATTAGATCTTTGGAAATTTAAAAATAGGGAGCTTTACACAACACGCCACTACATTCATTTGAATTTACACATCTATCACCTATATTTTGGTTTTACATTTATACCACCCAAATCTTTCATATCACATCAAATTTACCCTAATTTTAATCTTAAAAATGCGAAATACATCTTTTCATTCATAAACATAATAGCAATTGTGTAAAAAATTAAAACTTAGATGTTAGATATGTAAATGTAACTGCATTCCACATTCAATTCTCATCCGTGTTGACTTCCTTGCAGAAGCTAAGCTGTGACAGGTTGTTTCATAATTTTTAAATTGCATTACATTTACCATTTTTCATCTGCTATATAGACGTGGGGTGGGGAAGATGAAAGAAATTTAAATATTATGAAACAAACCCTAGTTCTAACATTGACTATGGGTGCGAACAATAAGCAGTATTGCATCAGAAAAATATTACACAAAATTTATATAATTATGTGAGATTCACACAAGTCTAATGGCTGCTTAAAAAAAGAATATTGCAAATTTGCATCGAATCAATTTGACTTATAACCCCGATCCAACGGCCAAGTCCCGGGAAAAATATTACATTAGGACTCCGACGTAAAGCTACATTCGGAGTCCACTGATATCACAAAGAAACGCACACGTTTTCTTGTGATCCGGCCCGGTAACACAGGAGAATATTCTTCCTGTGTTATCCTGCGTTATTCAGGTGTTATTATGGTGGTATTGATTTGTTATTGTGTTATTATAACACTGTAAATATTCTCATAACACAATGACACATGAATATCACCACAATAACATCTGAATAATGAGGAATGACACGGGGGGAATATTTCTCTGCCCTAAAATGATTTTTTTTTCTATCACCTCCACTTGACTTCATTTCATTGAATTCCGAACATAATTCTATGTTAAGAGTCCTGATATAATATTTTTCCCAAAAGGTCCCGAGCTTTCTTATTTACACTGTCATCTGTAATAGTAATAATTAAAGTCAAGTTGGACAAAACAGCCAGAAATAAAGATATGAATATTTACACTGTGGGCCATAATAATAATAATAATTGAAATTAAGTTGGACAAAACTGCAAAAAGAAAAGAAATTACAAGGGTGATTCCAATTCTAAACTTTAATTATTCATAGAAGCTTCTAGCAATTCTATAAATTAGGTTCAATTTAATATTATATATATA